AACCAATACAGTATATTATACTGTACTGTACTTCCCTTTGTGCCTGCTGGTTGATGTGGCATCCTGTCTGTTCAGCCATGTTTATATTCCCACACACTGAAATTGATGGTTCAGTGGATGGAAATTTTACTGAAAAAAGGGCGCCTTTTTTTTGTGAGAAACTTTTGTTTTGCCTTGAATTCTGGATGGTGGGAACTTCATGTGAGAACTTTTCTTTCTCAATCTACAGTATACAGTATATGAGCGTGTCAAGAAGCATTCAATTTTAGTTAATTCCCAAATTTAAGATCTCCCTGTCATTTGATGAAATAATGCTTGAAATAATCCCATTTACCCAAAATATTTTTTCAAGCAAAATTCTTCCAAATTTCATTTTTGAAGTCTTGGAACTCTTATTAGAAATGAACAATTGGAATTCAAGGGAAAATAGGTGATCCAACCATGCATTTGAAGTACCATTAAATATCAATATCTATACAAGCATACATTTATTTTATGTTTTTATAGTTCAGGGGTGTCTTGGCTAACCAGCAAAACTTTTCCCAGTTTTATGATCATTGGCAGAAGTGTTCGTCAGCTTGATGGTATTTCTCCTGGACCTAGTCCAATACTTCAAGTAAAATTGCGTTTTTGCCAGAACCAATAATTGCTAGCTGGATAAATAATTGTAAGCCCTGCTGTAGGAACAGTACAAACATTGTTTGTTTTCAGGAATGTTTTTGTAAAATGAATTTATAAATTCAAGATGCTTCTGCTCCCTTACAAAATTCCAGAGGGCTATGCTTGATATTAATTGCATGGCACTGAATTAAATTGGAAACTTTTCACATAAATGGGGAAAAACTTGGAACCTCAAAATTATGGTCTATGGTGGCTCTCTCTTATATTGACCCTTCACCCCTACTATGTGGCACTTGGCCACATCTGAGTTGGGCAGAGGGCAGCACTGTTTCATGCAATAGGAAAACAACTCTTGTATTGTATCCTGTTCGATTGAGCCTAGGCCACACACTCAAAATTCTGACATTTAAAGAAAATCTGTGCATTGACTCCAAAAGGGGACATTTTTTGGAAAATGGGAAGGTTTGTCAAATCCAGTGGACTCACTTTACAACAATCTTGTCTGCAACAATTTTCTCTGTGCATATAACAAATTTCACTTTGGTCTCATGAGGCTCTATCCACATGTTTTCAAGGCTGTCTAAAGCAAAATTCTCTCTACTATGACTTTTCTGGTTCCTTGAATTTTCTTGTTACAGAGTCCACCTGCATTAAAAAAAACATTTCAATCTATATTATGGCAAAGAGATTTCTAAGTACAAATATATGGCACATGTAAAAGACTTAATAGCTTACACTTGAATATCTCAAGCATAGGCCACACTCAAGTTTCACAGCCCATATTTTTTAGATAACTAAGGGTCTATCCTATGCTCCAATTAAAGCAGTTTTCCCTGCATTCAAAACCTGTCCACATGTTTAACCCCAATTCAAGAAAAAATAATTATCTTGGTATTTACAAAATGTATCTTCTTCAACAGCAAAAAAATAACATTAAAAGGGCATTCATGCGAGAATATGGTTACAATCACGAACAAACGGATCAAGGATCGGTATAAATCAAATCCAAATTAGCACCCGAGAAAACGGCGCCCTTCCGTTGCTCAATCAAGTCCTTCCATTTGGCTGCCAGGGGCAAATGCTCTTCATTCTCAGCCCGGTCACGCAAAAATAAGCGCAATTTCCTCGCCGTACCAACATGATTATCATTGCGAACTCCAGCCAACTCCGCAACACTATCCACGCTTCGCCCAACGCTCCAGTTCGATTCAAAGAATATTTTGTCATGAGTTTTTCAATACAATATTATGCCAATACTTAAAGGGTCGCAGAAATATATAATTTTTCTGAGAATAATTTGTTATAAAATTATGTATTGCAACAAGATTTCACTGTATTTTAATAATGAAATGTTTGAATGTGTGAGCAGATATTAAAATATGTGGCATGGGTTTCAACCATTTTCAGTGCTGTACATCACAACATAAATTTTTAACCATGGAATGCAGCTGATGACAAGAGCATTGATTTTGGCTTTATGCAAACATGTAACATTGGAAAGAAATGTTCCTTATCAGACCTGCATGGAAAAGGATGATCAACAGTCCTCACAAATTTTAGTTGATCACACATTATTCATTTGGTCATGAAAATACACAATGCAGTACAGTACATGCATTTTTAAAAATGACAGTGATCAGTATACCCCATTATTTCAACATTTTTATGTCTCTATATGGTGAAGCCACCAAATGATTTGTGGAATGAGATAACATTTATTTGAATATGCAGTACAGGACAGGTGGTAACTCAGAATTTAACCCTAATCCATTGCCAAACTGGGGTCAAACTGTGAAGCAGTCAAATTGCAAGAAACTTCCTGAAATTCCAAAATATCAGCACAAAAACGCAAAACAGTGGCCAAAGCAGGTTGAATTGCAGAGCAAGAGTCAAATTTCAAGTCAACCTTCCTGCAAATGCAACCATCGAATTGTGGGAAGGTGAAAGTGTGGGAGGTCAAATTGCAAGGTACCACTGGTACTTACTCAAATTACTAAAAACTCTCAAGTAAAACACACACCCAAAAGTTTTAGAAATAATTTTTGATCAAATCCTAATATAAACTGAAGTGAGGCACATGCAGTAGTGGCTCAAAAGCTGCAATATTTCAAAAACTTGTTTATGTGATACAATACACATACATTTCAATAATAACTTTTTGTTTTTTATGATTTTTTTGAAAACTTTATCCCTTACTATACAGCACAATCAGTGGTTGGTCCCTTGATTTAAAGAAAATGTTTTCCAATTTCCATCCTCAGCAAAATAAATGCTCAGATGACTTGTCCCCCATGGACACAACACCGCATTAAGCTGGAATAATCAACACTTCCTCAATGCTGTGATGTGCGTGCGAATGACAATCGCATGGATCGGCACAACACTGTTTCTTGCCCATTGGCTCAATTTTCCCCCAGGCGTCACAGGTGGAAAAATTGGTTTAAATTGGCAGGTTGTGGCTATCAAATTACCATGCAGAATATATCGCAACCAATATATTATACTGTACTTCCCTAGCTTTGTGCCTGCTGGCTGATGTGGCATCCTGTCTGTTCAGCCATGTTCATATTCCCACACACTGAAATTGCTGGTTCAGTGGATGGAATTTTTACTGAAAAAAGGGCGCCTTTTTTTGTGAGAAACTTTTGTTTTGCCAGGAATTCTGGATGGTGGGAACTTCATGTGAGAACTTTTCTTTCTCAATCTACAGTAGATATGAACGTGTCAAGAAGCATTCAATTTTAGTTAGATCCCATATAAAATATCCCTGTGATTTAATGAAATAATGCTTGTCTAGGTCTTCAGCAATCCTTAAAATCCCCAAAAATGGATTTCTCCGATTTATCCTAAATACTTTTTCAAACAAAATTCTTCCAAATTTCATTTGTAAAGTCTTGGAACTCTTAGAAATGATCAAATGGAAATCAAGGGAAAATAGGTGATCAAACCTTGTACAATATTTGAAGTGCCATTAAATATCCTTATCTATACAAGCATCAATTTATTTCATGTGTTTACAGTTCAGTGATGTCTCGGGTAACCAGCAAAACTTTTCCCAGTTTTATGATCATTGGCAGAAGTGTTCGTCAGCTTGATGGTATTTTAGGACCTGGATCAGGTTATGAAGTTCATTTTAACGCAAAAACGGTCTTGGTTATTAACGATCGACCTATTTATTAACATTCGGGACGACATCCTTGTCATGTTTGTAACAAACAAAAGTCCTTACAACATTTGACTGGAAATTCATTAGCCAAGACGCCACTTTTATCTTCATTTTCTTCATCACTCCTCAGCCTAAGACAAAAAAAATACATGTTCTGCAGGACAGCAGGCTAATTTTCCCTTTTTTAGTTTAGGCATGCTTCAGGCAACACAACATACACCCTGTGGGCCAGATCTGGCCAGCATGAGACTTTTCAACCATCCCAAAGTCCTTACCCTATAATATTCAAGGTGGTAGCCACCCTCAGTCGAAGTATTTACAATGTAAACATTTTACTTAAATATTTAAGTTCTACGAAGACGAGGGAATGTTTTAAGGTCTCCCGATACGAACTATAATTAACGTACCGTGACTTAATTTAACCTTTGAAAAGTGTATTTACCCCTTTTTGAATGAACCTCAAAATTATGGTCTAAGGTGGCTCTCTCTTATATTGACCCTCAACCTCTGCTGTGTGGCACTTGGCCACATCTGAGTTGGGCAGAGGGCAGCACTGTTTCATTCAATAGGAAAACAACTCTTGTATTGTATCCTGTTCAATTGAGCCTAGGCCACACACTCAAAATTCTGACATTTAAAGAAAATCTGTGCATTGACTCCAAAAGGGGACATTTTTTGGAAAATGGGAAAGTTTGTCAAATCCAGTGGACTCACTTCACAACAATCTCGTCTGCAACAATTTTCTCTGTGCATATAACAAATTTCACTTTGGTCCCATGAGGCTCTATCCAAATGTTATCAAGGCTGTCTAAAGCAAAATTCTCTCTACTATGACTTTTCTGGTTACTTGAATTTTCTTGTTACAGAGTCCACCTGCATTACAAAAAAACATTTCAATCTATATAATGGAAAAGAAATTTCTAAGTAAAAATATATGGCACATGTAAAAGACTTAATAGCTTACACTTGAATATCTCAAGCATAGGCCACACTCAAGTTTTACAGCCCATATTTTTTTTAGATAACTAAGGGCCTATCCTATGCTCAAATTAAAGCAGTTTTCCCTGCATTCAAAACCTGTCCACATGTTTAACCCCAATTTAAGAAAAAAGAATTATCTTGGTATTTAGAAAATGTATCTTCTTCAACAGCACAAAAATGACATTAAAAGGACACTCATGATAGAATAGGGTTACAATCACGAACAAACGGATCAAGGATCGGTATAAATCAAATCCAAATTGGCACCCGAGAAAACGGCGCCCTTCCGTTGCTCAATCAAGTCCTTCCATTTGGCTGCCAGGGCGTTTACGAGAAGTAAGAGTCGGGCCAGTGCGTTTTTATTCGCGTTAAAGGAGCGGCATGGTTGTACTAATAGTAACGCTTGAGGTCGGTTGAGGCGTTGTGATAGGTGCGAAGCGGGTTGCGAGGTCAAAAGTGAGAAAAAACACGGAAAGTCGACGCTAATTTCGTCTTCTCCTGATTTCACAGATTTTGGGAGACCGACACTGAAGTAGTGCGCGAGCAGGCGTCCTTAATCTCCCAGTGGAAAGCTCCTGACGAAGTCAAAGTAGTTGAAGTGCGCCCGTCGTTCGAGGCCTAAGAAGCCGAAAAAACATTGTGAGCTACTTCAGTGTCGATGTAGAAAAAGAAGAAACCGAAGGCTTACTGAAGTTCCTCGTGAAGAAACTTGGAACAAAATTTTTTCTTGAAACATCTATCCATGAAGAATAAAATACACTGGGGCTACGAAATGCGGACAATTTGAAATAGGGACACGTGATAACTCTAGAAATCTGCCCAAACATCCAGACAAAATGTCTCGTGCTTTGGGCACTTCACCGACATTTCAAGACACATGGCATTTTTTCTAATTTTAGATATCTCTTGAAAAAATTGAGCTTTTCATAGGATTTATACTCAACAAAGATTAAAACTAATCCTGATTCTGAATTCAATCAAATGTTCTAAATTTCAAAATTCCAAATGTGTCTCGCGGAAATATCGCTTGCAAATGCAGAAGTCAAAAAATGTGGGAATTGATTTCAAACAAAATGGAAAAAAACCTGCCTTTTGAGGACGATGCAGATGATAGAAAGCTTGATACTAAGGCTTTAGTTTGTTGCATGTTTGACGTAGCAGGGCGTTGAGGAGCTTCTGGGCAGTCGTGAGTATCCGGGAATCTATGTTCCAGACAAAATGTGACACGGCAAAAGCTGCATTCATTGCTCACTGCTGTTTTCTTGCGACAAGAGGCCACAGGACAACTTGAATATACTGGTCTCGTATGAATTGCTTCTCCCTGAAAAAAAGACGAAGAAATCCATTAACCTTTGAACCTTCAAAACATGAACTGCGCTTATTTCTTCATTTTTTGAGCTACAGCAGCAATTTTTCACTTCGTTGTGGCACTGGTGTTTTTCAAGGCAGTAAATTTTGCAAAAGAGCATTCAACGATGACAGCTCGATGTCATTGATTCCGAGGGGCACCAACTAAATTTTTCAGCCCATTTAACTGAACACAGAAAAAATATCCTGGCAAAGCTAAGACCCAATGTACCTTTGCCATATTACACAAGATAATTCTGATTCGGAAGAAGAAAAAATCGCACATTTTCTCAGGTATTCATGCAATATTTACGCTTTAACCACGTATAGCAATAAAAAGGAAAAATTGCTTGCTTTAGGGGAAAATTCTTCATTGTAACAATATTACAACCGTCATGCAACTTCGAAGATGAAAATACAGTACAATAGAAAAGCTGCGCAAAGCTTCACATTTTTCAATTTTCAGTCTTCAGCATTGAGTTCTTGCCACATTTTGAACTTGTCCAAAGGTATTAAAGAATTTCCAAGAAGTTCATCAAATTTTGGTCATTTTAAGGAGAGTAGTGCATATTATTCAAATACCATGACAATTAATGCATGTACCGTATATATATTCATTGTACAACATATTTAGGGATATTTATTCCATTTTCTTCCGAACTGGAAAAAAAAACAGTGGACTTGATCTTGTTTGTAAATGATTCAAACAATTGGGATTTGCGCAAATGAGACGCATTGCTCAAAGCAGCAGCCAAATAAAACGTGAACTATTAGCAAAAAAATGTCCAACAAAGAACAAAACACAAGATTGGAAGCAATAGAAAAAAAATTGGAACTAACATCCTTGGCCCCCATCCGAGGTAACTTCGGACACTGATGATGTCCAGGCTGAAAATGGTCCCGGCAAAACACATGGTCACACCACAAACACACAAACGGGAGAAAATCCAGCCGAGAGCAGCCTTCTAATTCGCACTGCTTCCCTAAATCTGGGAACTCCATGACACTTGTTTCCTGTTCGAAGAAAATGCAACAACAACAAAACAGCCATCTACCAAATAGCGCCGAACACCCATCGTTGCAAGGGTCGTCTTTCATGTTGAAAGAAAAAAAAACTCGAGCAAAGCTAAAAGATTTCTCAGGTTCTTCAATATTTATCAGGATCATACTATTTTCACAAGACACAAATTGAGTAACAGTAAATGGATCTCGATGCGAAGTCAATTTCCATGAATTTGCATTTGAAATTCTTCCTCAAATTTTTGAAGACACATTTTATTTTCAATTTCGTGCCAATAGTGAATGTCATGCCATGGTTGCACAGCCAATCAGTTACAAAACTTCATCAACACCACCTCCTAAAAATATTTCAGAAATACATCATTGGAAACAAAAACACCTCCAGCATTAAAAGTGTAAGTTTTGAACAAGACTGCTTTGAACATGAATTAAAAGGAAAACAGGCGGGTGTTCCAAATCAAAACAAAATCCTCACTGTGAATGTTCGAATTTGTTTTGACGATCACACGATTCTGCATCATCTTTAAAAGTTTTTTCATCCTCTGTTTGCTTGTAAAGTTGTTGTTAAGTAACGGTTTAGAACGTGTTTTACGGTTTATCAAACGGTTCAGGAATATTTCATATGTTTTACCTGCCTTTACAAAACAATAGCAATCAAAATATCATAAAACTCGACTGCTGCAGATCTTACAAACGGTTTCACATAAGCACCACCGCAAGATCATGTTCTGATATTTGTTAGGACGGACCAAATGCCTCAGTCACGAAGAAGTTCAAATCGCACGGATGCAGTGCGATCTCTTCCGCTGTATTCAATATTCTTTGCCCAAATCCGGCACTCAATCATTATGAGTTTCTGATATTTGTTAGGACGGACCAAATGCCTCAGTCACGAAGAAGTTCAAATCGCACGGATGCAGTGCGATCTCTTCCGCTGTATTCAATATTCTTTGCCCAAATCCGGCACTCAATCATTATGAGTACATGTGCTGTAAATAAAAAAAGAGAATTATCAAACGACATATTTGGCATATAACATAGATACGAGTTTATGATGTACCACAAACCCTTCCATAAGAAACGCACGGAGGTTTTTCAGCAAAACATTCTGATAACATTGTATACATGCACCCCACTTTAGTGACTCTACAATGGCAATACAGTACTTCGAAAATAAGAATACACAAATTTCAGTTTAGAAAAAAATTGAAAGTGAATTCAACTGATTTTCTATTGTTTCCAATAGAATCAGTTTTCCTGTTGAAATTTTTGGTCAAAATTTTCCCAGAATAATCAAATATAATGAACACCAAAATTTTTAAAAGTTTTTTAAAAGTACATACCAAAATATTATGCACGCCCCTTATATCTTCTCAATTTTGAAAGAAAAAGTGTGTGAGGTACTCAAGTAAATGGGTCCAAGTTTGCTTCTACCAATTGAAGACTGATGTACACCATTTTGTGATTGAATGCATAATACATTACAGTGCCACAATTTCTTTTCGCAAATCAAATGCGTCGCAAGTTTATTGTCAAACCTAAATTTTCAGTGCTTGAATCAAATCATGCTTGAACGCATTGTCAGTGAATTAGACGCCTTAAAATAAGTTTGTGAGAAATAAATCGTTCAATGGGCGCAGATTTTTCTACAACATTAAATACTAGGAATTTTGATGGATCGAGATCAATGACACACAATTTTTCAAGTGGTAAACGGAGACTAATTCTCAATGTTTTTGCCATGTGACTCACGTTTTGGATCTTTCAGATGAAGAGCAACAAGAGGCGATAAATAACCCGGCGTCTTCGTGTAGGGGAAGAAATATGCCGGAAAACCCTGTTCAAACAAACGAAAAAAGGAAGTTACAACCAAAACGTTCTGATCCCTCACATGTTTTTTCCCCACCCGCATTCCGATTCTTTTTCTTTAATCATTCGGCTAAAAACAGAAATAATGGCTAGCGCTTAGAAATGGTGCTCAAGCAAGACTCACGGGATAAGGAAAATATTCCACAGCACCCAAATATTCCCTGTCTGCAGACGTGATTCCTTCACATGAAAGCCAGACACTCGGCGGTCTTCTGTTTTCATCCTTCAATTCAAGAATCAAAATGGTCACACCCAAACAAAGTGACAAGGCAACGAAGCCAGTTCTTACATTACTATACAAGCTGAACTCGCGGCTGACGCTGGTTTTCCTGACTTCTCGCTTCAGAAATTCTGGCATTTCATCGGGAAGATTGTCTTCCGGCCCATATGTTTCAGGAATCCATCCATAAACCTTAGAGAAAGTCAATTATTCACACTGAAAGATTCCAGGTAGGAGGATATTATACCTTATTAATTTTTAGGATGATGCACGGATTTCCACGATCATAACCAAAACGATTTTCCTTCGTACACATGCTTGTCCCCAAGAGCCGAATGTCAAATGGGCATACTTCTCCGGGTCTCAGAACTTTGCCAGGATAGCATTGGACAATTGAACCACCGCTGCTTTGAGTCAACTGTTCGTATTCTGCATGAAGTGGCATTCGTTAGTCATTAATTTGAAAATTTCAATTTAAATTCCAATTACTTGCCAGATACGAAGGATGCCAACTGGTTGGTCCACATTTTCCAATTTTCCACAATACCTTGTTTAATGTGAATCAGAGCACTCTCATTCACATCAGATTTTGGCCGTACACCAAGACCTTGAATACACAGAGAAAAAACGTCAGGAGCACACAAATTTTAAATATTTCATCATCTGACACTTACCTGGGGTATTCCCAATTGCTCCGTAGATATTCTGGTATTTTGGCTTGTTCTCATCCAGAGTTTGGTGATGAATCAGCATCATTATAGCGAAGAAAGCCACAAGACATGCATAGAAAACCGAATAGAAGAGGATCCTTTCAACTGAAACAGAACAAAGCATAAACTCACATACAGAGTTTTGTTCCTGACCAAGAATGAATATCGACTTACAAATGCGTCGCCTCTTCAGTTTCTTCTCAGTCAGTAGCGCTTCTCTTTCTGAGTCCATCCTACCACTAGGATCCAGTTCTTCTTTCTCCTTTTTCCGATAACGAGCAGCTTTCTGGTCCGAAGACAATTCTCTCATTTTCATTTCGGCCATCGTGTATCAGAAAGCCGATGAAAAAAAAGTTAAATGAAACCTGCACCAACCAACAAAGAAATTCCAGATCAGCAACCAAGATTGGGTCGAAAATAATACACTTGAATAAAAAACTAAGCCCCAAAAAGGAATACAATCAGTTCCAGAGAACCAACTGCTCTGTTTTCCGGAAACAGACACCATTTGTAAGCAATAGCTTCCTCAGCCGGTGTGAGGACAACTGATTCGGAGCTCTCTGCTATTTTCAGAGGCAAGATTGATGAATTCCCAACAGTCACTGTGTTTCTTAGACATCAAGAACGACATTATGATTTATGCGATCGAACATCGGAAGGAACGAATACAAAGCGAGAACAATGGAAGTACTGAAATACAATAAACGACACCACGCGGCTCCCTAACCATTGGAGTTTCACATGTGAAGCGTTTCTTTTCGTGTCGTTTGATCAGAGAAACTCATGAGGTTCGAAAGTGTTTCGCTCTTCGTTGAAGGAGTGGAGTTCCTCGGTGAACACGAAAGAGGGAATAGGACTGCTCTGCGGTATCATTCTTCTCCGGCGGCAAGGAAGTCAGGACAACGTTATAAGTGGAGGCCGCCATACTCTTTCCACGAGCTCACGAACGCCCCCTACAGATTAACTGTTGAACCAAGCATAGCCCCAAAACTAATACAGTACCATAGATTACATTATAGGTACAATACCAATTACCAAGGAACCATCAAAAGACAGACTGGTCAACACCTGAAGCAAGATCCAGGCATCTTGCACAAACCTGGACATCAGCTGCAGATGAAACCAACCCTGGAACAAAGTCTAGGCATGCATGGGAAAATCCTGCAGCTCAAAAATTCCATTGGTACAAAAATCTCATCTGAGTTATATTCAGAGCAGATGCAAACATTAAAGCTGCAGATGAAGGCCAGAAGTTTCTCAAGATTTTGGGAAAGGTAGTTTTTTCTACAATCATATATTTGTTTAATTCAAAGTTCCTTTTGTTTATCCTTTTCATTGAGTGTCCTTCAATCAATTAAACCCTTCCCTAAATCCCAAAATTCTTTGTTAAATGCGTGTTCTCATCACTGAAATCAGCATGAAGTATCCAGCATCCTTTTATAACAGAGCTTTATAATCCACAAACGTTCCAGGCACAAGGTACAAAAATAATTCTTCAGTTATACAAATGCAATAACTGGTAAATAAACATACATTACAGTACTTCAAATGACAAAAGCCCACACAACCATAATCATCCAGCCTTCCAAAGTTTCGGAAATGACGCGCAAGCGCACCGCAATACGAGAATAGAAGAAATGATCCTCATCTTAAAAAAAAAAGGAACAGAAGCTCCAATAAATCCGCGGCGCAACGCGTGTCGATCGAAATATACCTCGCAAAATCTTTTTCTCGGACTAGATACTTTTTCTCAAATCAACCAAGCAACGGATTGCGCACAACACCCATAAAAAGCACGGAATCCGTGTCTTTGTGGTACTTTCGTATATTCTTTCCTGCCAACTAAAACTAGAGGCACCCACAATACGCGGGCCTAGCGTTCCTCTACTTACGACACCGTCGTCGCCGGAGCCACGGAAGAAGTAAGTGGAGCTAGTGCCGGACCAGTTGGGCCACAGAAAAGGCCATGCTGGTCAAATTTGCCGACAAACATCCGAAATCGGCCTCAGCAGGAACAAACATGGATCCAAGGCCAAGATTATTGAGCGGCTGGAATAATAAATATGAAAAAATCAACAGCGCTGATCGTATCACCAGCTTCCTCATCCCATCAGCGCGATGATTCTATTACTTTAACTGTATTTCTTTGTACCACTTTTCGGAATAGCCATCCTCACAAAAATCATTGCTCTAAGCGTCGAAGGTTACATACAAGGGTTGGCGCAACCTTGGTTATTTTTGGAGTAGGTACGGCTTTACAAGAAAATTATGATATATTAGCTCATGATGTTGCAAGGTTTTGCACAAAAAAAAAGTTTGGAAAATCTAACCTTCAAGTAAAAAACCTTTGGATCCACAGAAATTTTATGAATTTTCATGATATACATCAGTTTATAAATGTATACTGAAGTACCATGTAAATTTCCAAGCATTTATATAATTGAGCATTTCAACTCCCACGCTAAGAACTTGACAAATTCACATTTCATAAACAAAAATATTTTTTTTTTAGCAAGCAATCAGATCTCAGATAATTTTCCAGGTAAATCTGGAATACATATTAAAACAAGAAAAAGCATGCATTATCAGGAAAAACCAACTCTTGAAGTGAAGAGAACCTTCAGATCCAGCGAAAAAGAACAATTTTCAGTGACATGTATAACTTCTAAGAAATTCAGTTTGCATCCTTCACAGTTTACAGTAACACAGTTCACATCAGTTAACCCAGCGAATGACGACATATACCGACTGGAACAGTTTCAATAAATACTTTCATTCTCCAAGGCGCAGAAAGAGAGATCCGGATATACTGTAATAGGGTTGTCCAACTTCTGCGCGGCATTAAATATAACTAACGTTGTTAAAAATGTTTAAAAATTCTATAATTCTCTTACCCCTGAATCTGTTTTTTTTTTATAAAATCAGGACATTTTTCAGTACATGGCAAAATGAAAAGAGAAAACGCACCCTGAGCAGCTCAAAAGTCGTTTCAATTTTGAATTTGGGAAGCGTCAAAAGGTTGACGTCCCGGCGAACCACAGAATCCCTGGCTTGGGCAAACGATTCCACACTGAATCGCTCCAACACGTCGTCCAGGTTCCATCCAGGGGAACTCGCTGGGACTATCACATACATGCTCAGATCGTTCCCATCTCCACTGGCATAAGGCAACTCCACCACTGTAGCTTTGAGCGTCTCAGAAACACCTGGAAGTAAATAAAAATATTACAGAATGCAGCAGAAATTCATGAATTATCAACAATAATTGAAAAAAATTTTCCACCAACATCATTGCGCACAAAAAAAAGCACACGCGCACAAAAACTGGTGAAAGTACACTACTGCGGTACGTACCAGGTCTGGGAATAAAAGCAAAAATAAGGGAACATGAATAAGTAAACTTGTACAGTACATCTACAGTACTTATGAGGAGAAACGAAAGGGTTCGTTGCAGGATTTCTTTAGGGCTTATATCCTCAAGCAATTACAGTACACAGTATACAGGATTCAGCGTTCCCAAATTCACATTATACGACTGATCCAATACGAAGCTCACGAAAACGTTATGCGATAATAGAATACCATCATCAGTACACTACAGTACAGCGTGAGTCCCCGCATAACGATGCTAACGGTCTTGAAAGCATTTTGTTCTTGGGCAAAAAGCGATTTCCCTCAAGGTTACATAATGAACAATTCAAATTCTTTCAGGCACTCGAAAAAAATAAAACATGAAAAACTATGTACTGTATTACTCCAAGATTCCAGCATAAAATTGTGAATTTCAAATTGATTAGCAATAAACTTCATTTATCCTGTCAAGTTTTTGATCTGACTTTCTGACTTTGATCTGACAAAATTTATTGACGAAGAGGCACAAAAAAATGCCATTCTTTCGTAAATTTTTTCCCCGTTGCGTATAGGTCTTTCCTTATATGCAGGGAAACAAGAGTGCAATAATTCAAAAATGCCCAACAAAAAAACAAAAAAGCCTTTACGGTACGTGATTATAAGACGTTAAAATGTACGCGTTTTTGGCTCAAAAAAATGAATTTCGAGAAAAATTTTCGTTTCCATGGTCACTTTTTTCCTTGGCAATTTTTTAAATGCAGATTTTTCGTTGCGCCGGACTTGCGTTATGCACATGTAGGGAAACAAAAGGCTCACGATTCAAAAATGCCGACAAAAACAATAATTACGTCATTAAAATACATTAAAATGTAAGAGTCTTTTTTTTTACTTTTTTTTCACGGGAAATATTTTCGTTCCGTAAGGCACTTTCTCCCATTGGATTGTTTTCCGTTGCGCGGGACTTCCGTTACGCAAGGGAACAAGGGTGCCAAACTTCAAAAATGCCACCAAAAAATAAATATAAATAAATTACGGCATGTAATTTACTACAGTACTGTACTTCGAAAAATAAATACAGTACAATTTCGTTACAAGGAAACGTCTGTGTAACGAGTTAATGCATGCAACGATTTTTTTCATCTGGTTTTCGGCCAATAGCCAATTTTTTTAATTATTATTTCGTTTTAGCGAATTTACATTTTTAACCAAGATTTTTTAATGGCCTCGTCAGACGCTACGTTGTAACGAGATTTTTCTCTGCAAATAAAAAAAATGGGATTTTCAGAAAAATGCAAATGAAAAAAAAATAAAATAAGAAAGAAAAAGAAGAAAACCGACCGACGGGCAGCAGCGCGTCTCGCAGCTTCATCGTCGGCACCGTGATCATGTCCCTGGCTGCGTTGTCCAGAATGAACGTGGCCGGGTCCGTGTCCTCGGCGGCAAACTGGTTCAACCACTTGCCCTTAAAGTAGGCCGCGTTCACCAGGGCCATGATGGTCGCCGGCGACACGGCGTCTGAGCTGAGCAACTCGGGGATCTTGCCGCGCGTCACGCGTGACACCCAATCGTTGATCTTGCCACGCGTCACTTCCGGGACGCTGGCCTTCAGGTGCTGCGCCTAGAGCAGGAACTCGTCAAGGCGGCAAAGGGGCAACTCTATGACCCTGTTCCTCCTGAGCTTCATCTAGGCCAACCGCCTCAGCTCTCACTTTCTGACGACGTGATGGTCTGGGGCGAGTGGCGGCTGTGGCGGCGGCGGTGAGCCCTGCTGGCGCTCGTTCATTACGATCTTGTCGAAGTACTTGAGCGCCTTGTACGCCATCAGTACTTTCAACTGTCGAGCAAAAATGAAAAAAAAAACAATTAAACTCCACACATGGGACTTTCCACAAATTTCGGAAACTTCACACTTTTCATTCATTCATTCATTCATTCATTCATTCATTCATTCATTCATTCATGCTTGAACGCGGGAAGTAATACTTGTATACTGTATTTAAAAAAAATTAATAAAACTTAAACGGAAATTTCCGCAAATTTACCAATTTCACATTTTTTTAGTACGACATTCACGCGAGTATGAGTACGGGAAGTATTACAGTACCTTTATTGAAAAATGCAATGCAACGTACACGAGACTTCCCACAAATATTGGCAACTTCACACTTTTCACTACTTCCTGTATTCATGCGAGTAGGACAGCGGGAAAAAGTACTGTACAAAAATGTTTCACTACTTCCTGTATTCATGCGGGAAAAACTACCGTACAAAAATAAAACAAGGCACGGAAGGAAATTTCTGCAAATTTAGGCTACTTCAAACTTTTTAGTCAGTAGAACCTCTTCAAGTCGAATTTCTAGGGGCCATGAAAAAAAATTGACTTATTAGGGAGGTTCTGATTTTTTTAGGTTTTGAGTAAAGGAAACAAATATTTTTGCTGCAAGGAAAATGGGAAATTGTAGATGAGGATATTCTGGGCCTAAACTTGCTTCTTAATGAGTTTACAGCTTGCTAACCTTGTATAGGCAGGGGTTCATTTGTTCAATTAGTCTTTCACTTCATTTCAAAATGCATAAATTAATTTGTTTTGTTGATTTTCTCTTTCATATTTCAAGTAAATAATAACCAAGAGGCCTCAGAAAATTCGATTTACAGAGGTTTGAGAGAAAAATACTTTGAGTTAGGGAAGTTTTTAATGCATTGTTTCTATGGGAATCCAGACAGGGACTTGAAAAAAAAAATCGAGTTATGGAGGTACAGTATTTGACTTAGCGAGGTTCGACTGTACCACATTTCACGCGATTATGAATACGGAAAGTTACATGAAAAAATATTTTAAAAATTGAACTTACTCGAGATTTTTCGCAAATTAAGGCAAATTTATTTGTTTCAGTACTTCCCAAGCGTTAACCAGAATATGACGACGAAACAATTTTCAGCAATGGCTCAAAGGAAAAGACGGCACAAGCAGTAGAACATTTTGAATAAAAGATGGATTTGAATATAAAAAATGTGAATTGGAAAAAATAGAAAATTAACTTGAACATCGAATTTTTCATGGACTTTTGAAACTTGGGTACAACTGAATATGATGACTGCAATCGGATTCCAAGCACTTCTTTAAAATTTCACAAAGTTTCAAGGACACCTCGAACAGTCGGACATGTTTTAAATTTAGCAGCAATCGACGTGGAAATTCAAAAATGCCCTTAAATGACACTGGAAAATTTTCATTTTCAGAAAGGATGTTACGTCCGTTAGACAAATTCTGACTATCGACTTGTACATTGATATCGAATTATATGAAATGGGAATTAACTTTCTACCGCCCAGCCAAAATAAATACTCGAGCTTTCTTTTCGAAAAATGCATCAGAATCTTTCATACGAAACGGCGAGACGAAAAAATTGCTCCATAAATTACGACGATTATTCTTCATCATGATTATCCAGACTTTCACTATCTGAATACAGTTGTTGTATAAAAATAATAATAATAAATTCGCATCAACCATGCTAATGTTTTCGTATAGATTCTCACGTTGCTGTTCCTTCAAATTCTCAAGCAAAAATCTCGCTTTCTCTCGCACATTCTGCTTTCGAAAAAATACAAAATAACCCTGGGATGCGTAAATTACGTCCAGCTAGTGTTTCTAAGAATTAAATGGCGTCATTTTTGCGTTTTCTACAGAAAACTTGAAACTTTTTCACGGGATATCGAAGACAAAATTAATTGGCAGGAAAATACTTGATCTGTGAATTATTTTAGCGGATGGCGTTTCAACGAGGTTTACGATGCTAATGAAACTAGGGAAGATTTGTTTTTAAAAATAAATTGGTAATTGACAAGGGTGGTAGTTTTTTGGTGGAGGGGGGATCTTAACAAAGTTTGACTTAATGGTGGTGTGAAGTTTTCTCACAGTATGCTAATGAAACTAGGGAAGATTTGTTTTTAAAAATAAATTGGTAATTGACAAGGGTGGTAGTTTTTTGGTGGAGGGGGGATCTTAACAAAGTTTGACTTAATGGTGGTGTGAAGTTTTCTCACAGTGTGTGTGACATGAGTTGGTAATGTCAAATACAATATTCATTTACCCATCACATATTCATTGATTGTTTGGTTTCTCCTGTTATCCAGTGCAACCTTGGCACCTTTTAAAAGAAACCTTATTGAAGAAATTACTCTGTAAAGTTTATCTTTTGTTGCTAGGAGACCAGTTCAAAGTTATACTTCTGAATTACAGTTACCGAAGTCCAACTGTAGCACCAACACCTTGACAAGTTTCAAGAAATGCGCAAATGAATGCAGAAGTACAATACAGTAAAATTATACAACAAATCTTGGTATGACAAACATTTTGTCAAAATAATTGTTTCCCATGGTCCCAGCAGTTTCTCCACAGATGCAATCTTGGGAAAATCTCATTACAACTCATTCCAAGTTGTAATATCAGAACATTATAACAAAATTTGGGCCTTGATTAAAATAATACACATTCCAGTATCATCATTCCATACTGATAGAAATGAGCTTAAGAAAGATATATGAGTATTGGAATTCAACGAAGAGACCCTTTCTGAATCATAGATCAAGATAAATTGTTGACCTTACATGACTCCTCATCAAAGATTCTCTCTAAATTGTTCATTCAACTAAACCTTATTTGGGAACAGGCTGAAGACCTTGTGCTTTAAATTGGGTTCATTAGCTGCTGCAACTCCTTCAATTCTGGCATATGCTGCAATTCTTGTTACTGATATTTTGTTTTCAATGTCTGGGAAAGAAGGGGTGTATGCATACACATCAGTTGTGCAGTTGTACATTGCGGAATGTATTTTCTTTTATTTTGGTATCCATATACCGCTTATTTCTCTTTTTCCCATTCTGAAGTGATTGAATGCATTTGAATGGATTTGGGTTGGGAGGAGGTTTGGATGTGGGAATGTTGACTGAACCTTGTGAATGCTGAAAAGAGGAAACTAAAGCTTTCTGCTGTTCATTCATTTAAAAAAATACACTATGGGATTTCTTTGATGAATGGCAGAAAAAAAGGTTCAACTGGTGCGGCAAAGGCATACATTCTGAAATGGAGTTGAGATATTTCTAATACATCATGCTGTGTACATTTTTGAACACGAAATTTTGTCCGCAGACGATTTTGCTTTTTCTAATAGAACTGTAGATTTAAAAGAGTCGTAATTAGGGTTTTTTCAGGGTGGGTTTCTATTTTCCATTTCCAACAAAATATCAATCTAAAATAAATTGTAAACCATGCCCTTTGATACAACAAATTTTTTGTGAGAACAAATTTCTCATCTTGTCAATGGGAGTGTGTTGTCACGAGATTTCATTATACTGTACCACAAAGTACAGGGAACAGCCTCAACAAAGAGAAGGCTCGCCTTTTACCAGACAGACAATTTTAATTCAAGCTTTCAGTGATTGCAAGTGTTCACGACCCAATACCAAAAATTGGCAGTTGAAGCCCTTCAATTGAATCCCACAAAATGAATTTTAAAAAACATCAGTTGCCCAACGCCTTTCATTCTAGTAAAAAATAAATAAATAAATAACCCAATCAAGTCCCGAACCAAAGTAAATGGGGAAAAAAATTATATAGAACCCACCTTTCCGAGTTCAGAGACGCCCAAACTTCTTTGCAGGGCTTCTTCCATTCTGCCGCCAGACACGAGATAGGACAGAACCACAGCTTGCCAAATGCTGTGCGGAGAAAAGACCAGGTTGACCTGGTCGTCGATGGCGTCCGACAACGGCGTCGAATACAATTCGTGGAACATGTTGATGGAGAAATTGTTGTTGGCCCGGATGTAGGCGTCCAACACGGACTGGTCCATCTTGTGGCGGGTCGAGTCCGACAATCTCACGCAACCGGAAGTCCGGGAGGAGGGGGATTCCTTCCGGGACTTTCCGGATGACACATCGTTGGCACTCTGCGACTGTGCGGCGTCAACAAACACGAACAATGCGAATACGATTGCTAGCGGAAGCCTCATGGTTCTCCGCCAAAAAGATGGGTTGGCTTTTTTTTTTTTGCTTTCTGCGCAAAAGGAAACGAAAACGAAAATGGACCGAATGTATAGAGAAAAATACCATACGAGGGGTTACACGATTCCGCGCGGATCAGCTTGTTATTCCTGCTTTTCCTGCTGTTTTGATGGGGAAGCTTGAAAATTCTCAACAATAGGAACATTTCAATAGGCCTCTTTCAACAAATGGATCGAAAGACCTGAGAAGTGAGTACAAATTTGTGGTGATTACATCAAGAAGGTGTCTGCCTAGTCTCTTGGAACTACTGTATAGTGAACATGAGAAAAATGTTTTTAGCAACCCCTGGAGTTCAGATCATTTCGAAACCGTGCCGACACGGTTCCGCGCGGAAACGTGTAACCCCTCATACATATAAAGAAATACCGCGTCGTTGTAGAAATACTGTGCCGATTTTTGCGATGAATAAAATATACTGCAATGGAAATCAAGTTCCGCATTTTCTCCCCCAGAAGCAAAACAAAAACAAAAAACGCGTGTATACACAAAGAAAAACGACTGTTGTAGAAATACTGTGCCGATTTTTGCGATGAATAAAATATACTGCAATGGAAATCAAGTTCCGCATTTTCTCCCCCAGAAGCAAAACAAAAACAAAAAACGCGTGTATACACAAAGAAAAACGACGTGATACATTTACGACGAATAAAACATTTTTATCCTCGGAAATGATTAATGGAACATACTGTACTGTACTTCAATATGATTGGAGTTCCACAGTTTCTTACCCCAAAAGCAACAAAAGGACGTGTGGAGACAAGAAAAAATGGCATCAAAGTTTTACGAAGAATAAAACATCCTACTCTACTCTTAAATGAAGGACGCCTAGAAAAGAAATATATAAACGAAAATGCACCGAATGGCCGGAGTGAAAAATAAATAAATATCGTGATATTGATAAAATAATGTACTGATTTTTTTAGCGATGAATAAAATATTGTGCAATACAAATGAAATTCAACGGTTTCTCCCCCAAAAGCAAAAAAAACGAGTTGATACAAAGAAAAAATGGCACGAGACTTTTACAAAGAATAATACATTTTTATTTACTGGTACTGTACATGAAGGACGCCTGATGGTTTACCGCCAAAAATGTTTTTTGTTTGCTTTTTTGCAAAGAAGAAATAGCAGCGAAAATAAAAATGTACCGAATGTCTAGAGAAAAATATATATAAATAAATACCGTGTCTTTTATAAAATACTGAGCGTTGAATAAAACATACTGCAATAAAAATAAACTTCCGCAGCAAAAATAAAAAAACCATCGACTTTTGCGAAGAATGCAAGAAAATTTTGTGAAACGACAAGGGTTTTCTGGGATTCCGCCGAACGGCTTTCTTCAATAAGGAATTTTAAAAAATCAATCATGGTTTTCGAAAAGTTGAGAAATATTTTAAGTGGCTCAAGACTTGAAAGTTAAGTTTCTGTATGACAAAGTACGTATAGAAATATTTTGCGAATTATTGGATGAATGCGCTATGCTGCGAAAAAAAATGAGGAAGACTCGTGATTTTTCAAAAAATATTTTTTTCGTTGCTTCGTTTTTCTTCGGAGTATTGTATTCAAATACAGATAGAAAAAATCGGAAGAAATGCGCGAATATTTCATGAATAATGCATATTATTGCAAAAGAACGGTGAAAGTTTGCCATAATCGTCACTGACAAAATTAGCATTTCATTTCCATTTCAATTTTGGATATGCGGATACCGGAGAGTGTATATTCCCAAGCTCAAAAAGCATCACTTTTCTTTTCAAATTTTCTATAAATCTCATCCGGACATATTCGATACAAGTTATCCACCAAGAAAGCTGATACTCGGTACAGTACTCCAAGAGGGCTCAAAGCAGGGCAGCCCAGTACTGTACAGTACCAGAAAATTCAGATATCCAATTTCTCTGGAAGTCAGATATCAGATTTCTCTCAATAGTCAAACATTCGACTGCACAGCAATCCTTGCAGAAAAGAAAACGACGCACTAACAATACAGTAAAATCTCATTACAACAAATACTGTTACAACAAATTTTGCAGTACAACAAACTTTTTTTCCAACAACTGGCAGAAATCCTATGGGGTTTGTTACAAAAATCTAATTACAAAAAATTTGCTAACTCCGGTAAAACAAACGTTTTGAGGAAAATCTTCTGATTTCTTAATGAAAAATTCTTAATGAAAGCAGGCAGTCTCACATATCCCATTCAAAATTTGACTTTACTGATTCTTGGAACAAAAGGTGCTATGGAATCAAGGACAAAAATTCTTCAAAATTCACCTGAATATACTATCTTTCAAAAAAAAAATTTAGGTTAAGAATGATGGTGGGGGGCAGCTAGATGCAAAAATTAACCCAGCAAAACTCATGTTGAGAAGCATTTTTGTGTTTGAGAAACCCTAGAAATGTAAAAATTGTAAGCAATTTTGGAACATCTGGTACAGTACTTATCTTTGCAGGAATTGCTTAGAAAAAATTGGAGTCAAGAAAAATGCTAGCGTTCATCTGTTATTAAGAGTAAATGTTTTCTTTATCAAAGATTGAATTTCTTTTTGAAGATCACAGTTTTTTTAACAAAAACATATGAAAGGCCACAAAAGGAAGATTTTTAATGAATATGCAGCTCTAATTTGAAAAAAGTCTTCCAATTGGTCAATAATTTTCAAAATCTTGAACAAATTAATAACAAATTATTTGTTGTAACAGACTTTTCTGAAGTCCCCACAAGTTTGTTGCAATGATATTTCACTGCAGAAGAAATGAACCTCTCAAAGTGCAGTTGAAGCTATTCCAAGTCAAAATCCACAGTACAAACCAAAGAAATTGACTGTGGGAGTTTTCAAGTTCAGGAA